TATCATTTAATAAATAACATAACGTAAACGTAATAAAATTTCTTTTATATCATAAATGACACGATTTTTCAGGATCTGTGATATGACGATATTAAATTTTGTCTTTTTAAATAAATAATACTTGTTTGATATTTTTATGAAAGTATTGATATTATTTTACTCAGTTAATTTTGATGCTAAATTTTTAGGTATACACGTGGTGGAAGTCGAATGTCCGAGAGAAATATCCCAGTAGTTTATTTGTTACTGTAAAATCCATTGATCCGCCTAAATTGGAATCTGTTTTCTATCGGCAGTTATCATTACGTGATGTATCTAACATACGTAATGAATCACAAAGAATGTCCGTTCAAACTTCAGAGTCTATAAACTTACCAAAATGGACTAGATTAGCCGCGCAATCATGTAAAATACCGAATGAAATTTTCTTTGAAACGGACATTGGCGAAAATGGATGTTTTTATGTAGCTTATAGCAACAATGGTAAATACTTGGCATGTTGCTTCTCTGAAGAACACGATTATCCTATCATCGTCTACGAGGTGAATATTACAAAATCTTTCACTTTTTTTATTTTTGATAGTTAAAAAAATTTGATTTTGAAAGGATTAATAATTATTTTATCCAAAAAAAAAATCGGAAGATATTTTCGACGATTAATTTTAGTGTATTTATAACATTATATTTTTACAATCTTACATATATTACACATTACATTTTATTTCATTAGGTTGAAGGAAAGAAGATTCACGTACGGTTTTCAGGGCACAAAACTTTCGTTTACTGCCTCAACTGGTCCAACAATGACAATTATTTGCTTTCTGTTTCATCAGATCAAACTGCTCGTATTTGGGATATACAGAATCAAATTGTAGAATATATAGAAGTAAGAATTTCAATATTTATTTGAAGATTATAGAAGTGATACATATAAGAGTTTATTCTTTTTAATTTAAATGCCATCTAGCATTAATATTATTATTTATAATTATTTAATTACTTTAATTTAATTGTTAGTTGTTTTTTCTGTGATCCTCATTTATTTTAATTATTTTAATTAGATATTTAATTTTATTGTGTTATTCAGATGATGCCTCATCCATCCTATGTGTACTGTGGTAAATTTGATCCTGAAAACTCTTCGATAGTAGCAACTGGTTGTTACGATCGCATAGCGCGTATTTGGATGCGAGATAAGAAGTTAAAAAATTGGGATCTTAGTCAAGAATTGGAAGGTCACGAAGGTTTTGTAAATGCTATGTATTTTCAGAAGAATAGTAACTTATTAACAGCAGATAGCGTCGGGATAATAATAATATGGATGTTAAAAAAAAGTCGAAAAATATCTAAGAAGGAGTGGCACATATCACGAAAAATAAAAGTCAGAGAAATCGATGGTATAATAATTAACACAATTATTTTGCATCCTTTGGAGTCTAGACTTCTTGTTCATTCAAGAGACAATGGATTAAAAATGTTGGATCTCGCAACTGGAGTAGTGTTGCAAAAGTACAATGAATTAAACAATCAGAGGTATTCTTTATCTTACAATTTTACGTTTCATGTTTCATTCTGGATTAATTTATTTCAAGTTGTTTTTATTATTTTAATTATTTGTTTCAAGTTTTTTAAAAATTATTTTTAGATATTTTTAGTATTACTTTTAAATATTATTTTAGGAAATAATATTTTAAATTAATGTTAAAGTATTTTTTACAGAATACAGTCGACAGCTTGTATTTCTCCTTGCGGCAATTTAATCTTTTGCGGTGGTGAAGATTCATCTTTGAACGTTTGGAATTTAGAAACTGGAAATCTTCTCGCAAGATATACTTTTGATCGACATTATCGAGCAGTAACCTGTGTAGATTATCATCCGTATGATCACGTATTAGCCTTCTCGACTTTTGGTAGTCCTGCGCCAGTGAGAATTTTAAGATTTAACAAGGACGCTACGGGTGAAAATATAGGATTAAAAATGATGGAAACGATCGAGAACGCAATGAATAACAACGATATTTCCATGAGATTCCTAAACACGTCCGTGTCTAAAGAAATGTCCAAAGAAAAACTGAGATCGAGTAATACGAAGAAAATAATCGAAGAGGCTTCGCAGTCTTGCAGAAGCTTGCAATCTAGTCAAAGTTACAACTCCAGTTTTCTTAAGCTTCCTGATAACGTTCTTTTAGAAAAAGATAAGTACAATGATACAATATGTAATAATACAAAGACGAAACTTCAATTATTAAATGAAACTGGACAAACAATGAAAAATCGTAGTGCGAATCGTTTGTATAATATTATTGAAAAGATTGACAGAATTTTATCAAATACGTCAAAATCGTCGGGTGATATTGAGTCTGGAAAGAATTTTGTCCTTCTTCAGGAATCAAGTGAGAGCAAACTCTTAACAAGTTTAAATGAAAACATAGAAAAACAGAAGAAGAAACTGAGAAAAAATAAATCTGCATATTTAAGTATCGAAGATAAATCGAGTTCTTATATTGAGTCAAGCGCAACAAGTAGCGATAAACCGAAGGTTGTAGAATGTTACACGATACAAAATGAAAGACTAACTGATTGTAACATGAAAAAAAGATCAAAAAGTGCAAAGGAAATAAGAAGTAGTAACACATTTAAAGATGACATATCAAAAACTTTCTCTGATAGTGCTACAAATTATCAGAAGATTAAAGTACACGATGAAGTTACAAAATTTTCGCCGCAAGAAAATATCGAGCCAGATTTTACTATTAAAGAGAATGATAAAAAATCAATAACTTATTATAAGAATAGTCTTCTTAAGAAGGATGATTCAGATTCAACCGATAGCACTGGAACATACATTGTAGAAAAAAATGACATAAAAGATAATGATAAAGATTTGATGAAAATGTTTGAAAATAAAAATTTAGTTTTAAATAGTACAGAAAGTGAAGTGAGTGTTAAACATTCCGAAAGTGATACTTCTATACCTAGCAATGCGACATTTATTATTGAGAATGAAATTTCTGTGTCAAAACCAAAGAAGAACAGTAAGTCTAGTTTGAAATAACATTTCTTTTTTTCTTTTTGAGAATATAAATATAAAAATCCGATATTTATTACCATTATTTAATTTACAGTATTTTTATGTTATCATATTTTATATTTAAGACAAATTCTTAATTTAAAAGGCGTATCATCTTATTACATACTTCATGTATTATATATGCATTTTTTATGAATTATTAATATATATATATAAAATATAAAACTTTATACCTGTAATAATGTTTCTTGCATAGCTTGTTAATAAATATGATGTTTAATATGTCTGTTATCATTTATTATGCAATGATATTTTTCTATTGTATCTTTCTATTTGTACATTTTTTTCAAAATTAATGAATTAATTTTACAGTTATAATATTCGGTTATAATATGGGAACAGAGACTAAATTAAAAATACTCTTCTGATATTCTCTTTTGAAATTATTATCAAATATTCGTATTATTTTTAATTTTTTAAAGAACTTTTTCAACATTAATACACTTGTCTTGAAAATTTTTTATGAATAAATATATAAAAGAAGTTGTATGAAATTTTGAAAAAATAAATATATAAAAAAGTGTTATATAAAAAATAACATAAGAAACATAATTAATATTTTATTAAATAAATGTTTATCATACATGAAGTTAGTTTGACAGCTGATCATAGATGCCCACAAAAAATGTGTATATTGTTCAATGACTGATATTTTAAGCATGGGATCTTTTTTTGGAGGAATAGCTAAAGTTTCTTTGAAAATAATTATACTTCCTTTCCTTTATTTGACGTATTTATACGGTATATATTTATCGAATTTAATTAACATAGCACTTATAATTTACATATTAATCATATTTAAGTTAAGTGGTGCAGTCATAAGTATTGAAAACGAAGATGACGAAGAGGTAGGAAATTTTTCTGCTTATTAATAATAAATAACAACATAAAAAAAATGCAACTCGAAATTTAAATTAGTGCAATTATTTTCAGAAAATAATTAATTTTTTAACATATTATGTCGTATTCGATAATTTGTTCTCACTAACATATGATTTTAATTTTCTACTTAAAATCGCATAAAAAATAACTTGTTTGTTCACTATTAACAGTATCTACGGTCGTAATAAGAAAATATCAAATTTTCATCAATTAATGACTACGTTGTCAATTTCACAAGAAAAATGAAAAGTTGAAAAAACTAATGGTTTATCCCTAGATTCATTACACGCATGTACATAATTAAAAAGTGACTCGCGAAAAAATCGAAAAATGGGCAGTATATTGACAACCCTGGCTACCATTGGCATCAGCATTATTTTTTATCCTTTCTTATTTCTTTGCTATGTTTACATCCTCTTCATTATGATTGTCTTCAACATTGTACATTCGTTCTATATTTTTCTCTTAATGTTACTTAACAGTCTCTCAGATAGTAGAATTACTGATTAAGACTATTACGTGAGTTACTTATAATTTACAAATAGAGATATGACTTTCAATTATTTATGTATACGTGTATTGGACAAAATTTGCATTATTGCCTTGCTTTCAGGATTTTGAAGATGCCGAATCTAATATCGAAACTGAAGATACAATTCAATCGCAAAGCACGTGAAATGCTGATACGATTACTTCCGATATGAAAAGAAATATAAAAATTTAGAATTTTATTCGTACTTACGTATTCGTTATTCATTAAAATAAGGAATAAAATATCCTTCGTAAAATATGTAAATAAAGAGCTTATTTTGAATATGAATAAAAATATTCTCGTTAATGTCTCTCGTACCAATCAACTGTTTCACAGTTGATCACATATGTATGTATATCAAAAAACATTCATATTGAGATACAATGTTGAAAGATGTATGTATGACTTACGTACATATTATATGGAATAATTTTTATATATTATGTATTTTGCTTTACGAGATATGTATGCATGCATGTATGTATATATACAGATTTCGGAGGCAGAGCGCAAAAGTTAGTTCGAAGGGTGCCGGTATGAAAATCGTGTGGCGTTACGGAACAAAAACATGGTAGAGACGTGCTTGATTTTATCGTGTGCATTTCAATTCATTCACAGCTAAGAGTGTCAATCATTCTAATTATGTGAAAGTAAATTAGTCAGATATACAATATTTTTGACTTTAAGGTTTAGTAAAACAGGCTCTTCCTCGGCAAGAAGCCTCTTTGTTGCAATGGTAACAGTAATGAAGTTGATGCTCATCGCAGTTATTTACGGTAAATTTATTCATCCTAATTGACTGTTTCCCAAAGACACTTTGATAAATACAGTTTGATAAATGTGAAACTAATATTAAGTAAATTGTTTCATAACCTTCAAGTGCTGCCGATCGATAACTTGCTGAAGTAGTTTAGTGTTTAGTACTAAAATGCTTTAATTTGATTTTTGTTCATTGATGTAACTTATTATCATAATATAATATAATTATTATATAATTTATTAACACTTTATTTCTTTCAAAATAATCTATTTTAATAGATGTTTTGTTTCAAGTAACAAACTGCATGTGCATTCAACTCAATTCATGAAAATTGATTACATTGAAATTTTAGTATATAATATTTTTTTAAACACTCGAGAGTTTATCTTCTTTTCATTTACGTTTAAAAAATTACATTTAATTTATATGCATATGTAACTTGTTAAATTTACTTGTTTTACGTTACAATTTTTAAATACAATTAGTACTATTGAAACATGATTCAGCTTTTTCAGGTGTTTTTACTCCTGTAATAGCATCACGTGTACTTGAATTAAGCGACAGGTACATAATGATTTCTTATATTTTATAATCATATAAATATATGATTATAATATATATATATATATATTTACGTACATAAAATTTTATATATTATTATCTAATTTTTTTTATAGATTTTTGGATATTCATAAAGATGGGCAGTGGCTTGTTATGGTATAAATATAAAATATATGATATATTTATATTTCTGTATGAAATTATTGTTTATAAACATTGTTTCTTTTGTAGATGTATGCACCATGGTGTGCACATTGCAAAAGATTAGAACCAATTTGGGCTCATGTAGCACAACATTTACATGCGACATCAATAAGAGTTGGAAGAGTTGATTGTACTAGATTTACAAGTGTTGCTCATGCTTTTAAAGTTAAAGGATTTCCAACTATTGTATTGTAAGAAAAAAAATTGAATTTATTTTTATCACATATAGATAAAATTAATATAATTTCATTTCTCTTTTTCTATATAGTTTAAAAGGTGAGCAAGAATTTACATACCATGGGGATAGAACAAGAGATGAAATAGTAAAATTTGCATTAAGAGTAAGTGGTCCGCCTGTTCAAGAAATAACAAAAACTCAAAGTTTTGACACGATTAAAAAGGAACGTGATCTGTACTTTTTATATGTTGGAGAACGATCTGGACCATTATGGGTAAGATAAAAATTTCGTTATATTTACAACTTAATTGAAATATTATTCATAAAAATCCTAATTTGAACAAATGTGTTTTAGGAATTTTATCATAAGACTGCAGATGTGTTCCAACCACATGCATTTTTCTATCAATCTCATCCAACTGTTGTTAGTAAACATGCTCCTGTGGAAAATATTCCAGCATTGTTTGTCTATAAGGAAAATTTACATTATAATTTTAGTGGTAAATGTTTGTAAAATATTTATCCATAAAGTATAGTTTTAGCAATTGTTATTAATAATATTAATAATAATATTAATTAAACATTTTTAATAAGTATTATTTTATAACATAGGACATGACATAGATAATATAGAAAAACTAAATGAGACAATGTATAAATGGATAAATGCAGAACGTTTTCCTACATTCCCAAAAGTAACAAGAGGAAATATAAATCAACTTTTTTTAACAAATAAAAATTTAGTATTGGCAGTAGTAGAAGAAAATCAACTAGAAGAAATACCACCACACATGATGAGATTCAAAGATATGGTTGAATCTATAATTAAAAGTAAACGAGAAAAATATCACGAGTAAGTTACATTTTGTGAATTAGTGTATTATTTATTTTATCAAAAGTTTGATTGTAATTAAAGTTTTCGCGGTCAGTCATTTTCAGTTTGGTTGGATAGCTAGTCCAGATCTAGTCAATAGTATAGCAATGATGGTTTTACCATTACCAAGTTTAATTGTTATTAATACTACAACAAATCACCATCATATTCCAGAAGATGAAACAGAAAAACTGACTCCTCATGTGATAGAGTTGTTCCTAGAGCAAATTCGAAATGAAAGTGCTCCGGTGTGTTTTTTTTTTTCAAGTAGATTTAAGATATTTTATGTGATTAGAAGAAATTAACATTGTAAGGTATATTTGCAGCGATATGGTGGAAACAGTTGGTTGATACGTATATATAGATCGTGGTTTGAATTAAAAACAACTCTTTCCGCAATGTGGATGGGTAATCCCATTTTAACAATGGTCTTGTTTGGTTTACCAGCAGGATTTTTGTCATTAATATGTTATGGTATTTGTTGTCCAGATATTTTAGATGCAGATGATGATGAAGAAGGTACAGATATATATTTTTTTGCAAAATTAATATGTATTGTATATACTATTAATAATGTATATGTTATTATCTTTTTAATGCTAATTGCTTTTCCAGACCATCCAGGAGCAAATCATATGAAAAAAGATTAAAATTGGATTATTATATTGTTTATATTAAACAGTTTTATAAAATTTTTAATCTGTAATTTCTAATTTCATTTAGGTAATATTTATTAATCTTTTTATTTTAAAGGGTTTTAATTTCTGAAATATTTTATTTCTTATTCATTGATGTAAGAAAGTTATATGAATTATGAAAGTGATTATTTTTGTAGTCAGTAAAATGAGAGATTTTATGAATTATAAATAGGATGATAAAGATAAATTACCTTAGCTAAATGGAACTTTCATAAGACAATACAAATCATGTAAGTAAACGAGCTTTTTTAAACCACATAAAAAAATTTGTCTCATATTACATAATATAATTGAAGTATGAAAATGTATTAAGTTTCATGTGAAGAATGTACGTGGTAAATAATGTTCTGTATACTTATATTTGAAATTACAAATATATGTTTATTTGTATAAATATAGTGAAGAGTACCTCATATCAATGTTTATGTAAAGTTTGAACATTTAACTTAAAATATGATAACTGTTTTAGTGTATATATTTATCTACATTTAATAAAAAAAAAATAATACTACTTAAATATTTTTTTTTTAGATAAACATAAATTAAGTTAATTAAATAAAAAAATATTGACGGCAAGGGACATTGTAAAGATTTGAAAATAAAATATGAATTAAAATAAATCGTGATACTTCCGTTTTTTATTTCAATATATCATAAAAAATAAGAACGTATGACTAATTAAGCGTACAGTTAATGTAAATTCCTTTTCAAAAATTAAACAAACGTCATATTGCTGATTGCTGTCAGATAGTTATGTATAAACATATGTATATGCTATAAATCATCATCGTCAGAATCCAATGCTGCTCTTCGTCTGTCAAACTGAAATTAATTACTAGTAATCTCGTTTCTTTTTGGAAATGTATACGTATGTTATTATCATAACTAACCTTTACAACAGTTGTTCGTTGTGTTCGTTGATTTACACTTTCAAGTAAACTGATAAGTTCTTTTTCTCCTAATTTTCCAGGTATCTGTCCTTGTTGAGCCATAGTTAATATCATGCCTTCTACCATCTTTCCTTTCTCAGGTTTACCAAGACTTAATGTGTTCACTAAAAAAATATTAAGAGTACATACATTATATATACATAAATTCATAAATTTATACAGTATACATTGGGACAATATGTGTATAATTCAATTATATTTATACTCTTACATCTTGCTCTAGCTGATTGATCCAACACTTGGGTAAGAATGAAATTCCTCATCTCCTCTGTTCTTTGCATTTTTTCTTCCATTGCTTGTTTATTCTCTGCATTGTCAGTCTGAACATTTACAAATGATTGTAGTAATGATAGGAAAATGAATGATGTGTTTATTTAAAAAGTATCAATATACGTACTACCTATGCAGTTATAAATAGCATGTTGATTAAATTTCAATTCAATAAAATAAAACTTTATTATCATGAAATTGAAAATGGTATATTGTTATGATTGATTGCTTTAATTTGTTTTTTTTATTAATGGTTTTCTTAAATCATGATATCATTTGCATATATATATATATATATATATGTATACACAGACATAAATGGTATAAAATATTTTGTTTTTAATACATAACTGGTTTACCTTATACTGTGACTGCAATTGAGCTAATCGTTGTTGCCGTATTGCCTCAAGTTCTGGATCTGACATGGTATTAATTTCTTTACTATCGGCTATTTGAAAAATTTTATCAGAATTCGGTATTTTCTTTGATGTGTGTACACTCTCCTACAAACGTTATTCCCGTTAAAATGTTGCAAGAGGCTTGAAGATAGTCGAGTATACACAAATCGATACGCATGTTCAGTTAAAATTTGCAATGAAACTGTTAAGTAACTAAGTTTGACTGTTTATTAAGAAATAATTTTTTTTAGAAAAAATTATACAGTGTGTAATTACGTATGATGATAATGATGTTAATATAAGAAACAATTGTTATAAATTTACTACAAAGTTAACCTCAAAGTTGATAATTACAATTGATCCTGCTACGATTAAATTTGTTAGTTTTCAAATGAAACTCGAAGATAGATCAACGATAAATTTAAGTTGAATTCATAATTGTTAATATAAAGATTAGTTGAAAAATATTGAAATGTTATTTGTTTATTTATAAAGTTATTCATCTATGAATATGATCAATTAATAATTTATAAGTATTTAATAAACTTTTTAGATAGACATGTACTTCTTAATGCAATGTTTTAAATAATTTTTATTTCTTATAAAGATTTATATCAAACTAAGGTAGAAAACTAATAAGATTAAAACTAACTCTTTGTTTATAGAGAGGTAAAATATCTTTTGTATCTCAATTTTCTCATTTTATTTCATCTGTACTTGAATATTTAATTTCATATCATTCATTTTTATGTACAAATAATATTGATGTGCTATTTTTTAGTATGATTTTTTTATGTACATAGAAAGATATATTTAGGCTTTAAGCTTATGAAAAATTATTTGCTCACTTAAGTACACGTTTTAAATATATGTTAAAATTATAATAAGAAACAATGGATCAATATCATTACATAAACAAGGTACAGATCTAAAAAGAATGTAAAAGTGAATAAAAAATTATACATAAAATAAATGCAAAATAAAATAAAAGAAGTCAGATCAGTGAAATTTTTAATATTGACTGCACATTTTACTCATTATTTTATATATTTAATTGATACAACATTTTATTATTTAAAATTTTATTATTAGGCATTTTGTAAATCAACTATTTGTGTCAAAAACCAATATGTAAAATGTTGCACATTACATTTTTGAATCTTTTTCTATTAGTATTTTTATCACAGCTAAAATAATTTTTTAGTATTTCTAACTTTGTAAAAGGATCTTTTCGTAGTTCTAAGTACAGATAATGTTAATGTAATCATTTAAACGATATATTATTATTTTATTATTTGGCAGAATAATGCATATTATTCTAATTTACATAATATACGACAATGCTATATTAATTTTATAATACAAATATGTTGGTTTGGAAAAATTAAACATCAATGAATATACAATGATTATACAACCTATATTTATATAGAAATTTTATTGTTCTAGATTAATATTAAAAAGTACAAAGCCCTTTTTGGTATGCGTTTATTGGTTTAGATAGTATTTGTACTATCATACCACGGTGGCATCCAATTTGCTGGAGTTTTTGCTCTTCCTTTAGAAACAGGAAGAGTACCATCAATATTGTAATTTCTGTCTGTTTGTTTTCTGCGAATTTCATTTTTATTTGTGTCAAAGATCCCATTGTCCAAAACAACGAACGACTGGCCATTAGAATGTTGTTGCTTGGTGCTTTTACCAAAACTAGGAGAATATGGCCTGATAGCATTACTTTGAAGTACATAATCTGGTGAAGGATTGCGTGTCCTTCCGGAAGACTGAAGCGATGGCGAGCGTCTACTTCGGAAACCTTTTGGTTCATCATCAACATTACAGACATGAAGTCGGTAAGTTGGGCTAGTCGATCTATCCTTTACTCTATTATATTCTGACATATCTACCTGTGTTTGCCTTTGCACATGCGTCTGCGAAGATTTTGAACTCCTGTATTGGAATTATATTTATTTTTATTGCCACGCTCGTTAAGATATACACGAATAAAGTGTATGTGTGTAATTATTTCTTGAGATATTATAAATACAAAAAAATTGTTTATTTAATATTTGGTTTGCAATTGTTTTAAACCGCATTGAAACAATTTATGTTTTTTAATTATTCATCATACATTTCTAGTAAATACTAACTACACAAGTCAACTAACAACAAACATCAAGTATAACAGCTTGAGATTTTTATACAGATTTTTATACTAATTTTTTTAGTAAAAACTGTATTTGCTTTATTTCATTTACCAAACGTATATATTAAATAAACAGTTCAAGCCTAGCTCACGCACCAAATTTTTTTCATGTATATTGAATTCTATCTAATCTTACTAGATATAAGGAAAATATACAGCGTAATATAGAATTTATTAAATTACCTTCAAGTCAGGCAATTTTTTTTTGTATTTCTTATATCCAAACTGTGTATAAAACATGTTCATCGTAAACAAAACATAGAAGTATCTACACTGAAATCTAACAGAGTTTTATGAAATACAGACCTTCGACTACCTGTTGGTGGTTTTCCACAGATATTATCTTCGTGAACTCGAGTGTTCAACACTTGAAATGCGTCTTGATCTTGGGCAGCATTTGTGAAACCAAATTGCTCTGCGTTATTAATCCAATAATTCTCTTTTCGCTTGGAAGCGCTCAGACTACGATCTCGTCGATGACATGTCCTCGGCTCGTTTTGTAATTGACTCTCACGTTTTGTACAGTAAGCAGTTCTATATTCCGGCTCAAGATTAAGATTACCCTCTAAACGTAAATTGGCTGGCATCTTTAACGTTTCAACTCTTGGTATGTGGCCATAGGGAATATACTGCGCTCGCACTTCGCTTGTGAACTCGTGGTCATGCCGTTTGCATTCTTGCCTACCAAAACGTGTATGCTCCGGAGTAGCGTACGTTGATCTCAAATTCAACGGTGGTTTCCGATATACTGGGTAGTCTCTTTGATAATCTAAGTATTTCGACTTATATTCCGGATCTTGATCGATTTTTGATGTGAATTTAGGCGTAGGCGAGGGAGATATTTTCGTGCCATCAGCTCGTCCAATTTCATCTTCTGGTTTTATTATTTTAGGCCTCTCTCTTGGGAAATCCTGTAAACATGTAGCTGATGATCGTTAACAATTTTGTAGAATAGAATGGAATCGTCTATTAGAAAAAGAACACACGCACATTGCATCTACGTGGATTTATGACTTTTTTTGTACTAAATCAATCAGCTCGTGCATTTTAATATGCAGTTTATTACTTCTATACGCGCTATAATTGAGGGAAATAATATAGCGAGGTCGTAAAATGTTAGGTAGGGTCATAAATTGATCCGTCCCTAGCTGGGGTCATATACATTTCACATGTCCCAACGTCAGTTTTAGATCAATTTATTAATTTTTCTTATTTTTGTTAAAATTTCGATATTGAGACGCTTAAAATCGACGCTTTTACAATGTATCAGTGGATAAACCAAATTATGATTTTTTTTTAGCCAAAACTAATATTAATTGCTAGACTAAATTAATAGAATTGGATGAATATATGAATAATATTATATATGATAAATAATGAATATATATATATAATATAAATATAGAAATAAATAGTAATTGCACTAAATTCAAAACAGTAAAAAACACCATGAATGTTGTATACATTTTTGCATATTAGCATATGCAAATCATTACATGTTTTTCCTATAAATGTACAATATTCACATTTTATTAATTTTTATTATATTTCAGTCTATTAATTATTTATTTTTATCATGTTTATATTATATTATATTTCTATATTCATCTTATCAATTTTATTATATTTTATTTTATTAATTTTATCGATTTCCATTAATCATTCTACTTAAATTACCAGTTAAAACAATTTCAATTTTAGCAAATTTAAAGGAGCTTGAATTTACCTTATACGCGTCTTTATATTCCGGAATTTCAAGTGGCGGACCTTTCAAATCTTCCAACTTTGAAACCAACATTCTCATTTCTTCGTCTTTCTGCTGTTTCTCCTTCAGTTCCCTTTTTCGTCTCTCTTCTTCTTCTTCGATAGCTTTGTTCGATTCGTTTCTCAGTTGCGCTTCTCTAGTACGACAATCAATAAAATTATCAGCGTGCTCGGTACTTTGGAAAAAAGAGTTTCCAGTCTTTAGATGAGTCTCAGGTTTTACTGGCTGCGAACGTTCTGCGATACAGAGATAATAGTGATACACGTTTAATGAATTTAGCAATATGAATACATTTTACTGATAATGGCCCCTTATAAGTACTTGGAAAAAAAAAAGAAGAAAAAAAAGATTCAATGATTTGAAACGAAAACAATTTTTGATTGTACTTACGTGTTGGTTTAAAAAAGTAAAAGTTATTCTAGTATTTCCAATTATCTAAATAGATCTATCTGTACTTAATTAGATGATTAAGTTATAAATTTCATGACAAAGAGAGAATTTTTACAGAATCGGTTAATCTTTGTTCGACGACAACCCAAAATTTAGATTTTTTTATCATGTCAGTTTCATTGGATTATGAATCTAGTTTCTGACTAAAAGCTAAAAGTTTTGTTATTAATCTTTCAATCATTACATTTTTATTGTATAGTTTTGGTTCCTGTTTAATATTAATATTTGTAATCATTTCGTTATGTGAATATTTATAAATATTTATATTGTATTAATTAATATTAATTACATTATGATACGTAACAAACATCAATAAAATCATTTAGTTATTTGAAAAATTCTTTGACAATTAGAGCGGCATGCGCCACGATTAATTCAGATAGGCAAACTTCCCCTGTAATTAAAAATTAATTTGCGCAATTACCTCTACTGTTGTGTCTTTTAAACACATCGGCATATTCCGGCACGAAATTAGCCTCTCCATTTAATTTCAAATTTGTGTTCTGCCTTAATAACTCCGGCCTTCGAACACCTACAAATGGCACGTATTTTTCATGATTTTCCGTGGTAGTTTCGAATTCACCCTCAAGTTTTAAATGTGTAGGCACACGCATAAGTTCCGGTCGGCTAACATTCAGCCACTGGATGAATTTCTCACATTTTTCAGTGGTCGTTTCTAAATCGCCCTCCATTTTTAAAGACGTGGGTCTACGTGCTAGCTCGGGCTTATGCTGACCTTCGTAGGCAACGTATGACGAATAGGTCTCGGTGTCTGTGTATAATTCTCCGTCACGCTTTAAAGTGGTACCCCTGTAAAGTATGCAGCATAAAATGCATAAATTGAATGATTAAAAGAAGTAGAATCATTATTAACCCTATACACCAGTGCTATAGTAAAATAATAGTTGAAATAAAAAATAAAAATTTTTGCAGAGATTATTTCTCACACAATGTTACATTAAATTAATTTGAAATGATTGTTTGGCTTTATATTGATTGAAGTATTTATCTGATTTTACGAGTATATCCACTCAATTATACTATGCAAAATTATACAGTGTCATCTCAGTTAAATATTTTTCAGGATGAATTTGAAATAATTATGGCGTGCAACAAAATATTTAATGAAATTTATTTGTATCGACATTTAAAAATATCAGGATATATTTTACTTAACAATGCTGTCTATCTGACCTTTTTTTTGTTCGAAATATGGTACATTATTAATATATTGTTCAATTCATTATTTTTGAAATATATTACAGTAGAACTTCGTTTATTTAAAACGAATTTCAGTCAATGACTGATCACATAAACTGTTGTTGGTTGAATCTTATTTGATCTTCTATTGCTAGTAGAATTATTATAGAGAGTTACTTAGTAAGGGAAGAATCAATGGACTTCAATTATATAAAGTCCAATTATGTATATACAGACCCTGAATTAGGATCACTCAAAAAATTTTCAACGTTTTACACGTCCCAATGGTCCTAATTTAATGGCCAGGGGATATGTAAACTATTTGTCATCCAAAACTGTACAAGTTTGTTAAATATAATACTTCGTTGTGTACATATATATAATATAATATTTAATTTCATGAAACGTTTACCTTCTGATCAAAGAAGGTCGTTTAGAAGAACTAGCGTGGATCATATTGGAATTTGCCTCAGTCTCCATCGTTTTATCGTTATTGACTTGCGTCAAAGAAGACACGCCCTTTATATATTCAGTTGGAAGCTCTGTATATCCCTCCTCGTGTTCTTTGATATCTTCCCTATCAAAAACTCTTTTATCTTCGGTCGAGTCCTTCGTCTGAAGATCCTCGCTCCGTTTATTATTTTCCAACCAGGTATTTTCCTACGGTAAGGGGTACATCTATGAATCGGAAAATTATTGCTTAATGAATTGAGAAACACTCTCAAACTGTAATTATATCAATTTAAGTTTTTTGTTATATCTTTCCTCTCTTGTTCACCCCTAGTCTACAAATTTCTTCATATACGTATTTTGTACTACCTTATTGCAAAGCTATATTACACTTTTTATACTAATATTGATATATTGTATCATATATATATATATAATCTAAATTCTATTTTTTAATGATGAAACATTATTTTATTCCAATTAATTCCTATCAATCAAATTCACTTATTGAAAAGAAAAATCATAAATTGATAGGGACATTATCATGGAATCAAACAAATGTTGCTCCACTGTATCAAAATTGGACTTTTAAAACGACATTACCTATGCTACCTCCTTATTTGTAACAACTGAAAAATATACGCAGACAAGAGTGCAGTTTGATATTTAGAGAACAATTGAAAAATGTACCTTCAAATATTTTTTCTATAAAATTTGTTCAATTTGTACATTGTAATGTGTGCATGCGAATGTGACACTTGAATGTACATTTTAAAATTATAGATAAGTAAAAATAAAGAGTACTAACCTTCAGGAATTCCTCGCTCTGCGCGCGGAAAGCTTCACGATACTCGGACACGAGGTCCTCGCTTTCAGCCTCGATATTGAGTCCAAGATTATCTTTCGGTTGGCCTTGTATACGTCTTCTTCGATAACGAGCCAGTTCGTCCACTGTCAGCCCTTCCAGCAAGGGCCATTTTTCCTTCGATTTGCTCTTTCGACTTTTGTTTTTACCCTGCGCTAGCTCAGTGTCCGAGGAGGATTTATTGACCTCGCGGGAGATCCTTTGCCTGCGTGCAAATTTTAATCACGTTAATTCTTCCTCGTGTTTTCCTACGCAAAATCACGGACGAAGTTTTATACGATCCATGAGGGCCGTTCGAAATTTTCGGGAGGAAAGGTGTCTTTGTTCCCCTCCAAATTGATGTTTGAAAATTTTCTTTGAAAGTAAAGCATTGTAAAATCAGCCTAAGTGAAACTTTCCTTTTTTTTTTTTTTAAGAAAATTTATAATAATTTAAAACATCGACAAGTTTTTCGTTTTCCTTTTTTCGATGAAAAACTATCGACATTTTAAACTATTTTTCTTATAACGTTGTAAGAAAAAATCGCAGGACAATTCAATTTTAAACGCTCATTTTAAAGCGTGAAGCTTCTATTTTTACAATATTAAATATGTTTCCTTCGAAGATGCTCCTACGTCATTGTCAAGGAGATTAAGTATTCCCCAGTATCTTTCTAAAATTTTACAAATTCAATGGACATTTTTCTCGCGACTAGATCAGTTTTGAAATTTCTGTTGTACAATTTTGTTTTCATCATTTTATTGGTCCCTTGAACGTTAGAGTTTTTGCCATTTAATTCTGGTGTATAACAGTTAAGTAAACAAAGAAAAAAAAAAAAAAAAAAAAGAAGAGGTTTCCAATAAAGCAACGATTCCTTTTATCTTTTAGGCTAATGAAATACTGGCTCTAGAACACGTCCTCTAGCGTGTTTATTCCTGCTTGACCGATGCTATCTGTCTGTGCTATCTGTTGAGGAATTGATCAGTTTCGTCATTCAACCTACTTTAAGAAAATCGTGCAAATTTATTTGTAGATTTCATTCAGAAAAACTTTGTGTTAGACTTTTTACCAAAAGAAAAAAAAACCTTTTTTCAAGCTTTTGTTTAAAATTAACGATTGAACGTTCTCGTCAAATTAACATCATCACTATTAAGATGGTACACAAAAGAACAGTTTTGTAGAGAACAAATTTTGGACTTAATTTTTTTTTTTTTTCAACAAAACAGTCTTGGCCATTTCTCACTTTTCACCATGTAAATATAGTATATATCGAATGGGGGATGATTCTACATGTAAATCAAGCATTTAGCTAGTCCTTTCATTTGATTTTTTATTAATTATCTCGATCCTATTCAATTATTTTTATTGATATCACCTACAAATCACAGAACTTTAAAAATAACTAAACAATCCATCACACAAAACATATGAAACAGAATAACGGAAACAAAAATTCAATGGAATTTGTGAAGAAAAGCCTCTAGTGGTACTTTTAAATTGATTGAAAATCGTTGTTTTCTATTTCTAACAAATCTAAAATAACTAACGCACGAAACAAAACAACGAATAATCTATAAAAGAAAGGACGCTATTTTTCGAATTGCTGAAAATTACTACTTTCATTAATATCGTCCGTGAAAAATTGCAAGTTCCTAAAGTAACTAAAAATGAAGTTATAACTAAATTATAACTAAAATTAAGTTATAACTAATAGATTGTAGTTATAACTAAAATAGCTAAAAATTAAGTTACGACTAAATACAACTAAGTTATAACTAAAATAACTAAGAATAACAATTATAATTGAAAATTGAAAAAAGAATTACAGAATTATAGAGATAGACGAGACTCCAAAGTAGCTGCTAAAAAGATATCGACAATTATCGGGACGTTCAATCGCACGAAACACGCGAGAAGAAAACGATAGAAACAAATGCCGAACAAAATTTCTGGAAAAAAGTAAGCATAACTCTGGAAGTTTCGAGAAATTGTTCAAACGCGATTAAAAATTACAGAAATTCACGTGTACTTCTCACGTTGGGAGAGGCGGCGATATACGAAGGCGAGAGAAGAAGTCGAAAGGTGGTGGAGCACCGAGCCGGGTGGTTGCCCGGAACGGACTGAAATGTTTCAGCGAAGGAATTGAAGCTGTGGGAGGATAGAGGCGGGCGGAAGTTGAGGTGGTGCAGCGCGTAGAGGGTGAAACGAGGAACAGGAAGAGGGTGGTACGAAGCTACGTGCCTTTATAGAACGAGGCTCCTATAGACGCGACTCATCGATCTACGGAGAGAGAGGAGTCTGAAGAAAGAAATTTTGTTACAGGCTAATGGTTTACGTGCACGGAAACGTTTAGGTATTATCGTACCGGCGACGTCGTCGACCAACCTGTCCTCGTCGGAATCTACATAAATATTTCGAACGCAGAAAGAATTATTTTAAAAGCCGTGTGGCGTGACAAATAAAATGAAGACAAACAAAAACAGAAAAGAAAATAGAAACAAATAAAATTGAATAAAATGGGATAAAATAGAGATAAACAGATAAAATAGGAGATGATGAAGAAGTTGAATGAATGGACGATCTTTTTGTGAACATTATTAAACATACAAATGATGTCGGTGCTTCTTTATTAAAATCTTATTAAGTAAATTTTTCCAATAGCGATCAAATGTAATCTATGATGTATAGTGATCTCTTTGAGACGTTCTTGGTCAGACACATCTCTGAAGATCAAGATCATTACCAAAAACTATTTCAAAGAACACAAAAATTTGAAAATTGAAAATTCGACGGATTTAAACAATTATTAAATGAGAACTCTCCTCAAATGCAAGAGAAACTTATTTTACGATCCGGAGAACAATTTATAAAGGTGCACAAAACGCACAAAGCATGCAAAAATATATAAAATATTCGAAAGACTGAGTACTTGTTTTACGAGTTTTATATTTATTTAAATGAAACAAATTTGTTTAGATGTTATTCCTTTAAAAGTATGAATTTTTATAAATAATTGCAATCTATCTGGCTGAGTGGTAAACTGAATCTAAAAGTTTTTAGGAGTTCTTTATTTTTAATGCTTGCATCATTTATCATTAGATCTCTTAAATTAACATATCATTAATTAATATAATTTATTTCAATTTTATAATATATATAAATATTATATATTTATTATATTATTATAATATTTAATATATTATTATAATTTTATAATATATATGTAATAAATATAAATTTATAATATATATAATAACTGGGAAGGAGTTGATTTTATGTTTGATGTCTTATTGAATATTTATCGAGCAATAAGCATTTACAACATTCTATGAAAAGACATCTTCGTGTGCTCAAATTATAAGAGAATCCTAAATCAAGGGATTATCCAAGAATTATTGAACTGCCTTCAATAAAATATCTCCTTAATCGAAAGTGAAAAATGAAATTGTCCGTTCGATGATCAATATTTCAACGTGACCTACAAAATAAGGAACTGAACGTAATTGACCAGCGTTTCTTCGTGATTGGCACACAATTACGCTGCACTTACAAATTGGCCTCGATCTTCGAGCATTGTGTCCATTATTGATACAGATTTGGAACATGTCCAGATATACCTTTAAACCCTAAACGAATATCCTGGCCATATCTCTGTCAATTATCAGATAACCATCTTGAATTGATTCCAAGTGAAAAATTTTTTAATGATCCCCGACGCTAATCTTCAGTTAGCATCGTTGACGGCTTGAAATAGTTTGAATTGAGTTATTTAATTTTGGCTTTCGTCTCAACTGAAAGAGGCTTGCCTTTCATTCTTAATAAATATTTTCATAGATAATAGATGTCAAAACTTCCAATTTTTTATTATGTATCACACATGAAACCTAACTTTTGTATTTTTGTAACGAGCCTAACTTACGTGTGACACTCAACATGTGAAATTTATAAAGTATAATATATTTTACAGTTTTTCAAGTTTCTCACTTACAACTACAATACAACATAAACTTTTAGCATTAGAATATCTTCAGATACACCGTGGGGAGGCTCATATACCTCGTGTTTGTGTATTTAGTGTGAATATTTAGTGCATGTTTAACTCGTTCCTTTAACATGTATGCTTAATACTTGTGTCTAGTACGTAGATATAATATGTACATGACCTCGTTCATTATCATTATGAAGACATTCCACGGAACATGAAATAAACCTGAAAAATCATTAGAAAACCTTTTAATTCCTGTTAATCGTTTGCGCAAACTTTGCTGTTTGATCGTTCTCAGCTTAACCCCGTTACACAGGGTGGGTCGAAAGTTTCTTCCCACCTATTTTTTTCAATAAAACATCAAAATACAAGAAAAACCATTATTAGCTTATTAGTTTTTTTTTTTATCTATAATAAAACAAAATTACGGATTTTTTTTAGCAGAAACTGATTTTTGGCCCACCCTGTACACATGTACATCACGAGGTTCTACTATATTGTAACTTCTTCCCTCTCCCAATCACGTCAACGCGATTAATCATCGAATAAGAAGCCGTCTGTTGTTCCTGTTTATACATACATACGTACGTCGGTTGACAAATCATAGCGAACAGGTCTCCTTAATCGCGATCGAGCCTCATTCCCCTCCCTTCAGTGTGAACCGCGGCACGTGGCGAATAAAGGCTTCGCGAGTAGGTGAAGCTAGGTACACACATACCTATTCCGATTCAAGATCCTTTCGTGTGTCGAATTATCGCGGGCGTCAACGAGGAATACCAACGTTGAGACCACCGGTAACCCCGTGACCCCGATTTTCCTTCATTGTACGGAGGGGGGGCGACGAATTTTACATACGCCGGCAAACAAATGTCCGTGACGCGTTGACGCACGCACACGAGGACCAGCCGGCTGGTTTGGTCAGTAATTTTGCCGGTTCGCGTGATTCGATCTACGAACGCATTTTACCAGCGATGTTTGCACGCAAATCTTACTTCGAAGAAGTAAGGAGGCCGCGTGTTTTGTAACCACACACCACTCCCCTCCCAACCCCCCTCCCCCTCCCCCTCCCCCTCCCCTCCTGCCCCTCAGTCGCTTCGAGACAATTGCCGATCATTCGATACTACCTAAATAAATATTAATATCTCCGCACAAAAATTGCCGTTTTTAGCATAATAATATTTACGTACTTAGAGCAAACTAGTTAATATTTACGTACTCAAACTCCGGGTAATAGATCATGCGTGTATTTGCAAATAATTTGCTCAGTTACTTATTATGAAACAAGGCTGCAAATTGTAAGGATTTTAAATCTTTGAAATTCGATAATTGCCATACGAGAATATTGCGTGACGACGTGAGTTTATTTTTATTTGACTGATGATAGCTCTAACCGAGCTTACGTTTTAGACTTCAAATTTTAGATTTTAGATCCGTCACAATCACTTACACCAATGAAAAGTAATTTATTGAAATTGAAATTCCTGACGAAATAATTGTCGAGTTTGTGAAAAGAAGGAAAGATATTCGAGAATTTCGAGATCTGGTAAAATTTCAAATTTTAACTTGGCGAATTTGAAAATGAGGCCTCGGTCCAGTTAAAAATACCTATTGCAAAAAAAGTTCGAATACCTCTAATGGAAGCACTTAATACTGATTTAGACGATGAATAGTCAAAGGGATGCTTTCAGCCAGGACAGGAAATTAAACCTCGATTCGAATCTATGGACGATCGTTGTCAGTTTAACATCTATCGTCCTAAATTCTCTAAAGTAATTGACCAGATTTTTACGGTGATTAAATCTGTCAATTGATAAATACCTAGTCGTAATTCGATGTACTATCACTGTAATTACCTTGCAAGGTGGTTTACGTTATCTGTGCCAAGCACACCTCGCGTAGTCGGGTCTCTAATTTTAGAAATCATTTCGAATTTACTTTCCTTTCGTGACAAAAGTTTCGATCTTTATAAAAGCACGAATCCACGAATCATAAATTTACATTGTAATGCAGGGATGCCTATGAAATTCTCAATTTACATATTTAGACCACACTGTCATTGAAATATGCTTTAAAGTAGGTTTCTATTGAAATATAAAGAATTGTTTCACTTTCTATTATACTAACAAATTGGAATAACTTGAAAAGTAGAAATAAAATATAGGAAAAACATAATGAAAAAAGACAAAAACCTATGGCTATCTTTATAAAAAAATATTTATCAAAATTAGAATTTAATTTTAATTTTAGATATTTAATTTGATATATTAAATGTTTTTATATTTTTAAGTTTTCTGTAAATGTATAAATATCGCCTGTTTAATAGTGAACTTTTTTTTTACGTTGAGGAAATTTGTGTCTTTGACTAAGCCATCTATTGTATTATTTTAATACATTTTTTATACGTTGATGCAACAGAATGTAATGCATTATTTATTCTTATCTTTCATTTTACGCTTCTCAGTAATTTCAATAAACATTTACGTTGTATGTTTTTCATTCATTGCTCGATTTTTAATGAGTTGACGTTTTCTGCAATTTCTTAATAACTTTCCATTCATTTCTATCAACAACTGTACTATCTGACAACAGATTTTTGATCAAATAATATTAATTGTAAATTAATTGAGATTTAAAATGTTGTGATATAAATATAAAACACATAGGCACAAGAAATGATTTGAAACAAATGTGCAAAAAGTTAATTAGGATTACATTTATTATTTAGTAGTAAACACTATACACATAAAAAGTCACAAGAAAGAATATTTAGCTGTTCTTAATGAATTTATGTTTATATTTTATGACTTCTCCAATCTTTCAGTTAATGAAATCTAATATCCTCGAGTGAATAGTTACTTCTTTCTAAAGCTTTTATCAACCAGATACTTTCCTTCAACTAATATTTTGTTCGTTAACAATTTTCAATGAACAAAATTTTAATTCTTCTGTACTTGTTTTATATTAACTCCTCTATATACTTTATATTATAATCAGATCGTGAATCTCTCATACATTTTATGAAAAATTTAAAGATACAAAAATGCACATAATATGATATAAAATATCAAATATACTATAGCAAATCTTCATATGTAATGAATGTTGTAAGACTCAATGAATTTAACGTATTTAATGAATGAAAAAATTTCTTATTCTTCTTACTCTTTTGTTGTATTCATCAATTTGCTTGCATTTTGCAACTCTCAAAAAGTTTAATCATAACATTCTACATTTCGAAAACTTCGGCATTTTTAGCAAGTTCAACATCACCGTGCTCCTTGCCAGGAGTGAATCAAATCGCTTCATAATGCCTCGCTAATTTCTACCAACGACCCTATAAAGTCTATAAATAGCTTACGAAGCGGTGTCCTTCGCGGTTCGTTAAACCGAACCGAGAGAGTTCGATAGCCTGCAATTCGTTTCCCGCCGAGTCAAGTTGACGACACGAAAGTGTCGTTACCTTTTGCCAGAACGGTCGCTTCTGCCCCCGTCCATTGCATCCTCTTATCCGGATACGATCAGCTTCCGATATCCTCGAGTGTTCCAACAACTGTCCGAAATCACTGTTCCCGATCAGTGTAAACAACTTATGCCGAGAGTGATCCTATCGACGTGAACGGCCGCCGAAACGAAATCGATAAGATGACTCGACCGCACCAGATCCTTCTGCTGGCGTGACTGGCTTTTCGGGCAAGATGTTAATGAGAAGGTGCCGGTGATACACCTGCGCAGCTGCGGGGACATGGAAACGCTCGGCCGACTAGACGCTAGATGGTGTAAAGAAGACCACTGCCAGCGAGTTTAGTCGTACACCACTGTCCGATTGGACTGATTTCACGGTATTGCGGTGCTTAATTGCGATGACCATTTAATGTTGATTGCAACTTCCACGTAGGCTCGCCGGTTCTTGAAAGATCCTCAGCTGATTCAAAGGGAATTTCAAAATTACTTTCCTCGCTTGTTTTTTTTTTTTTTGGTTATGTATAGATCATACGCAATATAGACTACTGTTTGCGCATATAATATGCAGAAATACATACATGGAGCATCTAAGGTATTGTGTTTAATGTAATAATAAATGAACGAGTGAGATTTCTGCTTACTTAGAGTTTATTTACATATTTACTCGTTTAACCTCATTTATTCACTCGTTTAATTGCGAGTATATTGGCAACAAATTAATAGTACACAACAGACATATCTAAAATATAATGTTTAGTAAATAAAATAAATCTTTGTTTAATTAATAAAGTATAAGATGAAAATGGATTTTTCTATAAAATTTTGTGTAAATCTGAAGATGTACCTTTATGTAGTCTTTTAACCTAATCTTTGTTGTGAAATATGACTTTGTATGTACGTCTGTATTTAAATGATTTGTTATCATTAAACAACTATATGTATAATGGAAATTAATTATAAAAAATACATACCTAATGTAAAATTGATATTTATAATTATATAATCAAGTCCATCTATAGAAATATTTTTACGTTACATGTGCGTATTATTCATACGTAAGTTGATGTAAAATGTTCGAAATTATTATTTTGAAAAAGTATTAAAATTTTGATGTTTCATACATCAGTAAAAAGGTCGTATGTACGTACATACTTGAAATATAAATTAATTACCTATGTGATGGGAGAATTCCATTAAAAGTAGATTCATTTGAAGTGTGTATAATCTTTTATATTGCTGCATATGATTTTTCGCGTGATTATCATCCGATGTTTTATTAGATAACTATTAAACGTCAGACGTACGTGCAATGGTTATTTCCATAAGCATTAATGACTTTCCGTGACTTACACGCGATATGAACTGAAATACGAACGATGCCACGTTCAGAGCCATTGTCAAGTACATCATAATATCGATTTCAACACATAATCGATATATCGTAATTCTCTACGCTTGATGTACACGTATGAACTTTAATTTCTTTATTTTAACACACGTATAATCAGTGTATCGTAATTCTGCTTTATCACACTTTATATGTGTATAAACTTTAATTTCTTCAACTTGCTTTTCTAAATCAATATTTAAAGAAATAATTTCACATTGAAACACATCTATTTAATCGCGCATACTGATTCTCGCGTGAATAAATTTTAATATGTTATTTAAGCAATATATTTTATTCATGCTATAATGTAGCAAAATGATACTTCCATTGAAAAATTAAGAATTGAGCATTTTATATGTGTAAAATAATACTATATAAGGAAATATTAAAATAATATTATATAAGGGAATATTATTTCGAATCTGAAGATACTATTAAACTATTATTAAATTAACTATTAATATTAACATTTGTTCATGATATAAAATATAGAATAGGTTCTCGAAACCAAAATATGCACTTCGAAATACTGTTATTCAGATAAAAAGTTGTCGAAATAATTGAACAAAATAAATAAACAAATTATATAACTTGTAATAAAAAAGATTTATTCATCAATAACAGGTAAATACTTAATTCTCTTTTCTGTCTGTTATTTATCTTAGTATCTATACTAAGGATACTACTTATATGTAAGGAATGACATCAGTTTCATCAGTAGAAAACAATTCATGTGTGAAATGACATAATGCCCATGCGGAGAATGACAAATTAGTTAAATTATGTCAAAACTGCATACTTGGTTTTCATTAATCTAATGGACATGTACAATTGTACAAACATCTAATCAAAATTGCAGCCAATTAGCTCGTATTGTCATATAATTAATCATTTAATTATATAATAATGCAATTAGTAATTATATATCAAGTAATATCGATTGTCCAGGTTTCACCACGTGGAGATGCTGCGAATGGAAACCTACTCTACTTTTGCAAACAAATTTACTAATTTAAAATATGAATTTAAGAATAATTCGTTCTTCTATTGTACGTTTATAAAACATTCAATTCCTTTGAAAAACCAACGCGAAAAGCTAAATTTCTGTAAAAATAGAAATTATACTAAAGCTTAAACTAGCTGTACAACTGTACGAGACACAATTTTGACTATATGACAATAGTTGAAAAGCTTAAACAAATACATCTCTCATATAGAATTTTATTTATCCTACTTAAATTAATATTAACTATCCTTAATCATGTATGCATCTTACATAGCTAAATATCAACTGAAAATTATCATGCTTAATCTTAAATCTAATAACCAACTTAAAACTTTCACAATATAACACAACGTAACACAATCATTTTTGTTTTGTTCCTTGTATTCCAAATATTTTTCAAGTGAATATTTTCTTTGAAATTATGACAGTTCAAAAGTCGACAATTCTTCATCGAGTATGCGACTTTCGCCAGCTAGTGTATAATCTTTTGCTAAATTAAACTGAGAGGTTCTCCTATGAATCGAGAACTACTAATTCACTATTCACTGAATAGTGCAGGAACATTGACTAATAGTAAGTTAATCAATGTTACAAGGTCGTGACATTTATACTGATTAGAACTGAAACTAAATTTTGGTATAAAATTATAAATAACTTTTATAATTTTGGTATAAAATTATAAATAACTTTTATAATTTTGGTATAAAATTATACTATTTATAATTTTGGTATAAAATTATAAATAACTTTCAGCATAGTTGTTGTTTATTTAATTATTGAAAATGCCGCAAAATGTGTAATAATTATTTGGTTAAATTATATTATAGGGGAGTGAAAATTATGCACTTTTTTGGAGTAATCTGGTAAACCTCGAAGATGCAAGTTTTAACTTGAAAATTCACAATGCAAACACCAATCTAATAGCTGTTGATTTAAGCTTTTACCTAAGAACTTCTGGATAATGTACTTATTTCACTCTCTCGATAACATGCGCTTCTTTTCGTCATGTTTCCCGCCCAAAAGTCGATCGTGAGAAATATCGATTACGTTCGAGATACGTTTGATTCATTCATCGATTTATTGAAAAAAAATTCAAATTTTATAGACACATTTTTTTAGGGCAAAACACACATAGAAAAAAAGCTGAGAACCTAATTATTAGAGAGCCATGTAGAAAAGTTCGCAAATCATTCTTCTTAATTAGTTTTTTTCGTAATTAGTACAAACTGTCACAGTTTGGACATGGTGGCGCCATTACTAATTATTTATAAAAATACTTATTTCTGCATTTCACGGTTCAAATGGGATATAAAAGAAAGCTAATGCTCCAATTAGGGTAATGCAGTCATAAAAATTCACAATTCATTTCGCTAAATCAGTTTTTTTTGCAAATGAAAATTTCTCTGTTTCACGGGCTAAGAAACACTAGCACCGCGTTGTGGCAGAATAGTGGAACTAAAATCTGTTGCTATCCTTGTCGCACGCTGTTGCTTTCCTTGTCTAACATGTAAATATGTCGGTCCTTGTCGCACGCTGTAGCCCTCCTTGTCTAATGACGATAGACAAGGAAAGCAATAGTGTGCGACAAGGACATTCTTCGATCTATTGAAAAAAAAATTCAACTTTTTACACACACGGTTTTCTAGGACAAAACATATATACAAAGAAAGCGGAGAGCTTAATTTTAAGGATGCATATAAAAAAGTTTGCACATTATTCTTCTTAATTAGGTTTTTTTCATAATTAAAGCGAATTGTCACAAAATGGACATGGTGGCGCCATCTAGCGGTGAGTCAGCGGTACTAATTATTTCTAAAAATAGTTATTTCTGCATTTTACGGGTCAAATGTGGTATGAAAAGAAAGCTAAGGGTCTAATTAGGGTAATATAGTCACCAAAATTCACAATTCATTTCGCTAAATTAGGTTTTTTCGCAAATGAAAATTTCTCTGTTTTACGGGGTAAGAAACACTAGCGCCGCATTGTGGCAAAACGGTGGAATTAAAAAGTGGCAAACCGTGTTTTTAGTACCATTGGGTTATCAATAGATGGCGCCACCATATCAGCTAAACGTATCAGGTAAACGCTTTAACCATATAAGAATAATTAATTTTAATTTTTCTCGCCAATAATTTGCATTCCACGAACATATATTTTGGAGATAATGCTATCAATTACGTTCACAAATTAATTTGAATTTAATATTCACTATAGTTTGCAAGAAATTATGCACTCACTACTGGCACTACTACTAACGTAAACGAAATTGAAACATTCTTCATATACGTAAACTATACTTAAACAAAACATAGAATGCAAACTAAGGGTCTACAAAATTGAAGATGCAACCATAACAGTTCACGAATGATGCCTCTTAATTACTTTCGTCTCGTAATTTGTGGGAAAACTGTCACCTGTCAATATTAGCGAAGGGATTGAAATGGCTATGATAATGCGAGGATAATGTAGGAAGTGATGATGTGGGTAAGGTGAGGAAAGGTTTTTGCGTTTCGTCTCAGAGTCCGCTGCCTAGACTCATCAGTGAGGCTGATGGCAGCGACTCCTTACCCGAAGACGCTTGTTGTTGTAACTATTCGCTAGGCTGGATGGTCACCCATTCCGCACTCTGTTTGCTTAACATCGAATATCGGTTTGACTTCGACGCTAGGCGCACAACCACTTGCGGCTTGTGCAAGTTGTTGTTCGAAACTCGTACTCGAGGAACTATAGGTCGCTACATCACCCCCTTCCTAGTGGTAACGATATTGAGGAAGTAGCGACCTATGTAGGAGTGGATATGCCGGATGATGTTGATATTTGGCTGCTCTCCGTTTTTTGCGGCTCGGTCCTAGTCTCTCTTCTGCGGTCAGATACCCAAGGCCGGCATGCATCTTTATTTTGGAGGATTATGTGGCTGCGGTCGGTGGAGACGCTTTTCGTGGCTACGTGTCGTATGCGAGGCTTGCTTAGTTTTTTGTTGTGGACCCCGAGACGTGATGCCAATTTTACTTCTTTGACAGTTTATACAATTCCTTGCCCAAAGTAAGATATCTTTATTCATCCCCGGCCATACGAATCTTTTCGCAATTAAGTGTCTTGTAGCGCGGCCGCTGGGGTGGGCGAAATTGTGTACGCTGTCAAAGATTTTCTTTCGCAGCACTACTGGGATATATGGCCTAATTATGTCGGTGGAAATATCGCAAAATACTGTTTTCGTTTGTATTGTCTATCTTTAGTTTTTTAATTTGTAGTGCTGTACTTTGTAAGACCTGCGTTAATTCGGGGTCTTTTGCTTGTTCTTCGGCAAGTTCTGTTGTGCTCACCACGACTGGCATACTGATAACGTCCAGCCGCGATAGAGCGTCTGCCACTTGATTGTCGGATCCCGGAATGTGGGTCAATTTTGTCGTAAATTGTCCTATATAA